GTTTCGGTGTGTTATTTTAGGCAAATTTTCACATAAACAGATATGGTAAAAACGGTACCGGCAAAGATAAATGAGATGAGAGATATAAATGAGATTTTATATATAAAATTTCTTCTGAAATTATAAAATAAACACCTTTTTAAGGAGTTCTTGTATCTTCTATTATCTAATGTTTTTGCTTGCAGTCCCGAGACTATTAAAGCTTCATTTGACGCAGAACCGGTAGGCTAGCCAGAACCCCCGGGTTTGGGCCCTCCGCTGTGGGTAGGGTCGCACATGTGCTCATACGTGCGTTTAACTATGGTATGTCATCTAAGGGCCATCGCGGTTGCGATTCGGACCGGGACCCCGATGGCCGTCGACTGTGTTTTTAGCTAATCGGTGGCTGGGGGCGGTGAGAACCGCTCTGGACGGCGGGTGTACCTTGTGTTGGTCTTTGTGTTGGCGTTGTGTTGGTCTCGCCGTGCTCGGAAGCGAGAGTGAACTATTGTTTTTGTTGTTACATTAGTTGTGGGTGTAGTGCTATCCGGCGGGACCACCGATGGTGGGTCCGACGTATTTAAGTCCCTGCCTCGACCGGGTCGATGAGGACGTTTCGTGGGCGACGCTTGTTTACGTTCGCGTTTGTGTCGGGTTGGTAATTTGCTGCGCTTACCACCAGAAGGTGGGGATGATGTTCGGTTCGATCGAAGAACCATTTGGTCAGGTCTTTAAAATATTCGCTAATCGTCGGGTGTCTGCAATCGCTGTGCAGATCGACGTTGCGTTGATACCACTGCCCACCGGTTGCGCGGCGGATGAACTTATTTTGTACTATTTGCAGCTTGTACAAGCGAGGCTTAGGCTAGTAGGATGCGTGTGGGCAAAGGTCGTACGCAGGTCGTAAGGCACAAATTATTATATAATAATAATTTGTGCCTTATTATTATATAATAATTTGTGCCTTACGACACAAATTGCCGGGTGGCCGGTGGTATGACAATTGACGCAGTCCGGTGGATCTGCTCAATCTTTCGGCCGCGTACAGTCGGGCGTGCCGTGGTCACCAATGCTTTTTTAAGAGTTTTAAGAATTAACGAAAACTTAGGCCTAACGTTTATAAAAAATATTGAGATAATTGACCAAACACCAAAGTGGAGATTTTATTGATTCGATAAACTTTGGTGTATGGTTAATACATATGTTGGTATCATATACCCAAGTGGTACTATTATAAAAGATATATAAGAAATAATTATCTCAGTAACGTGCGTTTGCAAATCCCAGTCCAAATTACGAACACAGAATGTAGGTTCCTATATTTTATTAGTCATAAATTAATAAAGGTATTTTCGTTGTCGTTGTAACAATACACAATTTGGATTGTTTACTTCGTTTTGGTCAATTATATCAATTCGCAAAAAAACTAACTATAACTTTTTGCCACATTACATTGCACAAGATTAGTTTTTGGCAATTAAAGGCCCATTTACACGATGCCATTTTCTTGTACATACAAGAGCAATAAGTTGCACGCAATAATTGCCCATCAAGAATTGTAAGCAACAGTTTACACGCAGATATAGTAAAAAAAATTGAATGCGATTATTGTATGCAAGTCTTGACAGGAAATAATTGCAAAGGTCTATAGTTTACACCAATGCAATTATGTTTAGGCGATTATTGCTTTCAAGTTTTGACTTGTCTAAACACATGCTTGTATGTGCGTGTACAATTTATTGGCGTGTTGCTTCAAATATTGCACGTATTTGCGTTGACAAATTTTTCATGCAATTGTTGAACGTTTTACAAAGGGCTGTTTTTTTAAAAAAATGTCTCAATAATAAGTGTTCAAGTTAGATTATGCCGATTAAATATATTTCATTGAGATTTATTTATTATGATCCATATATTATTATTCATATTTTTATCCAACTTTTTTTACGACCTTTTCTCAATATTTCTATCCTCAAAAGAACAGCAATGATTATATACCCTCACTCATTGCACAAATTTTTGCCAAGGAAGAGAGAATGCAATTGAATACAAGAATTGCTTAAGAAATTATTGTGTGTGCTGTTTACACCAAGGAAAGTTTTGAACACAAAACTTGAAGCAAGTTTTGTTCAACAGGCAAGAATGTTATTTGCTGTTTAGACCATGCAACTCATTTATTGCTTCAATTTAATTGTATACTACAGGCAAGAAACTTGCACCGTGTAAATGGGCCTTAAATTTGGCGAATGCGCAAAAATTAATTTCTTAAAATATATGAACCCATTACAAAAAAGACAGTTTTTTTTAAATAAATCTACGCGCTGATAAAATGTCCAGCCTTTCAAGACGATGTATTATCAAGAATAATGTCAACAATTTTTACGTCTATGATTTAAGGCCCATTTACACGATGCCATTTTCTTGTACATACAAGAGCAATAATTGAATGCAATAAGTTGCACGCAATAATTGACCATCAAGAATTGTAAGCAACAGTTTACACGCAGATATAGTAAAAAAAATTGAATGCGATTATTGAATGCAAGTCTTGACAAGAAATAATTTCAAATGTCTTTTGTTTACACCAATACAATTATGTTTAGGCGATTATTGCTTTCAAGTTTTGACTGGTCTAAACACATGCTTGTATGTGCGTGTACAATTTATTGGCGTGTTGCTTCAAATATTGCACGTATTTGCGTTGACAAATTTTTCATGCAAGTGTTGAACGTTTTAAAACGTTTTTTTACAAAGGGCTGTTTTTTTAAAAAAATGGCTCAATAATAAGTGTTCAAGCTAGATTATGCCGATTAAAAATATTTCATTGAGATTTATTTATTATGATCCATATATTATTATTCATATTTTTATCCGACTTTTTTTACGACCTTTTCTCAATATTTCTATCCTCAAAAGAACAGCAACGATTATATACCCTCACTCATTGCAATAAATTTTTCCAAGGAAAAGAGAATGCAATTGAATACAAGAATTGCTTAAGAAATTATTGTGTGTGCTGTTTACACCAAGGAAAGTTTTGAAACAAAACTTGAAGCAAGTCTTGTTCAACAGTCAAGAATGTTATGTGCTGTTTAGACAATGCAACTCATTTATTGCTTCAATTTAATTGTATATAACAGGCAAGAAACTTGCACCGTGTAAATGGGCCTTAAGAATAATGGGTTCGGATGATGGTCCGGCACGTTCTTCGCTTAACACAAAATTCCGCGTACAGGACGTCAACATCCCTCATAATGCAGCTATCAAAATAAAAGATATCAAAACAATTACAGTAATTTTTAAAAAGCTTTCCGATCACCTAGGAAATTAACTATTTTCTACCAGTTTATTAACTAAATTATTTCAATCGATATACAGTTTGCCGTCAGTTTTGAGAACATGTATTTTTTATAATTCTAACGTTTAAATACCCATTTTTATTTATAAAAATAATCGTTTTTGAATAATATTTTAATCGCTCATTCAATTTTGGTAATGAAAGGTCCCCAACGTTTGTCACAATTTATTCAATAACTGATCTACAGTTTGATTTGATACTACTACTGATGCTGTTTTTTCAAAGACGCTTGAACAAACTTAAACGCAAACATATGTATCCTACTTCAGTTAGCACACCACACCAGTCACAGTAAACCACTTATTATACTGCAGTAGAATCTAATCTATCAAGCCAAGTTCGAGCTAACAGAATATAAATAACAAGCGGTACTGTATGTAAATATTGCACGAACCATTTGGAGCCACTTTTGACCCTAACATAACTCAAAAAATATTTACATAAACATGTCAAATTATTAGAATTAGATTATTTAGAAACAGTACGAAAAGATTGTCGCCGCTGTGGGAAACGAACCCACGCCTTCGGCATTCGCTTCCTGACGCTTTAGCCACTAAACTAAAGAACTGATTGCCACACCGACGAAAATCTTAATGTCTTTTATCTATATTGTTTTTAGCATTTAAAGCAATGCTTGGCGCATACATTGTTATATCCTTTCCAGAATACAAACAGTTTCGAATCTCTTATCCTTTAAACGAGCAATTCTTGTATATATATAATTGGAATCTCGGAAACGGCTCCAGCGATTTTCATGAAATTTGGTATGTGCGTAGATTCGGGGGTGAAAAATCGATCTCATTTTTAGAAAATGTCGTTTTATCCCAGTTTTCAGGGAATGAAAAATATCAATCGAATACGACGCTAAATATCACCGAACAAAAAAATATATTATAGCTCGGTCGGTAATCGGGCGACCGCTAACCAACAGCCACGAAACAGGAGGCCGTGGTTCGTATCACGATTTTTACACACCTACTTTTTTTACTTTTTTTCGATTCCAGATCATTGCTTTCTTTATTTTTTATTTTTTGTCGATCCAGCTGATTTTGTTATTTTTTCCCTTTTTTTTTAAAGTTCTTTCTTTTGTGAAAAACACCAGTTCATATTTTGTTATTATTACGTCGCTAAGATCGTAAAATATTATGCATATTTCATTACTCAGTAATTTGTATCGAAATGTAAAATGGTCCTCCGGGTACTATTGTCTCACAAACCATAATTCGATGTCACCATTGCTTTTTAGAAATTAAATTTTTTTGTAGTGCTAATCTCTGCACTTAATTTTAATGTTTAATACATTAAAATTTGTAGAAAAAGTACGAAAAGATTGTCGCCGCTGTTGGAATTGCTTTAGGCATTAAGTTAAACGGCAGATACATATATTTAAATTAAAATTCTTGCATGTCTAATCCGTTTCAAGCTTCTACGCGGTTATTTCTATGCGAGTTACGATTTAAACGCAAAAAATCCTCGTAAACATTCTCCTCCAGAGACAAATCTAGACTCAAAAAAAACCATCATAAATAATGATCCATTATAAAAGGCGATCTCTTTTAGCCTATAAAAACTTTATACTATGCTTTGACGTATGGCCTTTTAGCCCTGCATAAAGGCTTAGGCCGTTCTAAGCGGATAGGTTAATCTAACCGTGCATGTCCTACAGCCTAGACCGGAGCCACGTAAGCAGTTCCTATCAACCCTGGCGCCACTGACTGCCTGCGTTGGCAGCGCTGCCCACCACGAGGGATTCTACTACGTGCCGCCAAGCGCCAGAAATTCCGCCTCAGCAGCTACCAATATTGACTTTCAAGATCATAACGAAGCCCCAGCACCCGATGTTGTTGCAGGAACACCCGGTAAGTTTAGGAATAATCTACATTTGAACATACCAATTCAACAATAATTTATAATTAAAGTGGTCCTTTCTCAGCGTCTCCTATAATACTTGTTTAATATACTATACAGCGTAGCGCAGCGTTTTTTTTCTAATAGAGAAGATTGCAAATAAGTTGATCTACTGATGTTTAGCGATCATTTCTTTTTAGTAACAATCAGCCAGGCTTTACAAATAGATTAATCATCGCCTATTTACTTAAACTTTGACACAAATCTTGTGTGTAGGCGGACTTAATGCTTGAAGCAATCTCGACGAGATAACCTACTGGCTGATGCAGGAAAAAATAGGTATACGCTAAAGTAAAGCCGAAATAAAATCATAACATTTTAAAAAATATATTAGATCTTTCTGCATGATTATTTAAATTAATTATAATAAAAAAACCAGGATTAAGAAAATAGTAGCCGCCTTGATCGGTAGTCCCAATAATTGAATAGGACTCGTAACGAAGAATGGGTGAAGCCGGACTTATAAGGAGTAAAACATTAAAGACTGTTAGATTGAGAGGATTGGAAGACGTGAGGATTAAAATGTGATTTTTTTGTAGATAAATGAATAAAATCTTTTGCGTTGTAGGAACCAAAGACTAGTGCAGAAGATGCAGAAACTAATCCATACTAATATTATAAATGCGAAAGTAACTCTGTCTGTTTCGCTTTCGCGACAAAATACTGAAGCGATATAAATGAAATTTGGCACACAGATAGTCTAAAGCCTGAGAAAGGACATAGGCTATTTTATTAATTGGAAAATGGGTAAAAAAGGGATCTTAAAGGGGATACATATTTATTAAAGGGCTTCAACGCTAGCGAAGCCGCGGGCGAAAAGCTAGTACTCAAAATAAATATTAATTATGAAGAAAACCAAGGGTGGAATGAAGGGAATAAGGCAAACTACGGCGCCGAAGACGAGTGACTATTAATGTAGATGAGGGATGTATGAATAAGCATGACTTTCAAAATTTTAAAATCATTCCAAAGAGAGTTATTAAAACGGCCATCAAATTTGTTGAGATCAAAATAGCACAAATTATGATAATTGAACAAGCATCATGGATGGAATTCAGGGTGGTAGAGCCACCCGGCAGCCTCAGCTGTTGCACGAATGGGCAGGCTCGTCCGGGTAAGTACCACGACCTCACAGAAGACCGGCGTAAAGTGGAAGTGTGACAAATATTTTCGCGTTTCGTCTGGTGAGTGTGGTAGCCGGAGCCCAATTTCCAAAAAGGTTGTCAACGCATCTGCAAACCCTCGGGTGTGGCAGATGTCTATGGGCGGCGGTATTCACTTAACATCAGGTGAACCGTCTGCTCGTTTGGCAACTTTTAACATAACAAAAAAAATGGAAGAAGTTTCATTATCCCTAGAAGTTTCAAACGTGATCATTTTAATACAGGAGCAAATGACAGTGACGATGGCCTCGCCGACTTTGCTAGAGCATCAGCTCCAAGAACCGAGCGCATTAAGCAACGATACAGCCAAGAGTCGCAACCGGTTAGCAGCGATGATGAACACGACGATTATGGTAAGAAAAACTATTTCAGTTTAATTTTCAAGGTTATACTAAGATACTTGTATTAACTTCGACGCCGGAGGTCGTAGGCTTGATTCCTATCGATATCCTACAGTAACATTGCCCATGTTTTTGAAGGGAAGATTATAATAGATCTTTCTAGGTCACAGAGGTCATTGGGGCTTATAAACCACCCCTTCTACACAAAATAAACACATTAACAAACTACAGGTCTTCGTAGGGGATACAAGTATCAAACCTGTAATATTTTTGCGTTCCATTTTGTTCTTCTTTCCTTAAAATTTGAAAGGAATGTATCGCATCTAAAATTAAGAATGATTACATGCTTAAGATCAATCCTAAAAGTTATGGATAATAAAAAGTAATACAATAACAACTTTCAAACGTTTGTATAGGCTTCAATCGACGGCCGGCAGTCCGAGGTATCGCGGTTAAGCAACAACTCGCGACTTCGGATGACATCTTGCAACAGATGCAGAACGAATTGCAACCGTCCCCGAGTTCAAATGCGTCTCACACACCCGTGCACGCTGGCCAACGTACTAACTCAAACTACTCTTGGCCGTATTACTCTGAAGCCAATCTCAATTCCCGCCCGCAAAGTCGGACAAGCACCAATTCCAGCTGGTGAGTATCATTATTGCTTCATCATCAGTCTGTTAAATGTTGACTAAATTCAGCAGGGGTGCTAAATATAGTCTCACGAAGCACGATCCTGAGTAAGGTGTGACCTTTCTTCCCCTCGGTTGTCGGTTCTACGAGATATACGACCGGCCCATTACTACCTCCAGTCACCAACCTTTTAATCAATGTTGGTTATTTTTTTCTACGGCGGATATTGCATCCATAACTCGCCAAGCGACTTTGTGCTTCCTTCTATTTCTTATAGTTGATAATTTTTAACCCCGACATATATTTTAAGTATGTAAATTTTAGAATGCACAACCAAACACATTTTTGCACTAAAATTATCGATTATTGAGACCTTTCCGAAGAGAAGATAGCTTAAAAGGACGTACACGATGTTCTGAATAAAATTTTAGTATCTGCGAAACTTACACGCTTAAAGCCTCCATCAGTCTCCCTAATGATTTATGTTACTGGAATTATTATATTATGTATTTAATTGCCATTAGATCATTTATAAAGACATTCAAAAAGAGTTTAAAAAACTATAATACTGTTCACTTTTTTAAGTAAAAACTCTTGAATTTTTCCATTATTTAATATCCAAAGGACTCTATCCATTACATTTGTGAATGAGATGGGTATTTACTTGGTTCACTTCATACCATAGATATTGATGTAAATATGTTAACAAGCCTTTAACCACTCCTGTGGCCACTGGAGCGAGCTGAATGGTAGATGTGTTGAATTAAAATTTAACTCTTTTTTATTCGTAATTTTAAATAACCATTTACAATTACAATGTTATTAAGAGAAATTAGATCAGACCTTTAACAAAAGTAAAGAGCAAATTAATTATTGATAATTTTTTATTGTTAGGATGAAGCCCACAGAGTACGTACAGTCTCGGCAATGTACCAACAACGTTGTGCCACAGCAACATTCAGAAGTCTGTCAGACCCATTCACAAAACACATACGGTCAATATCAACAAAGGCAGCATGAGAACTTATACAGAAACTGTTCACTTTATGCTAACATCGGGTAAGTAATAATTAATAATATGTTGTTGGCTTGAGTTCAATCTAATAGATTGGTCGATTTTGTTTTCTATCAAGAAAGGTCCATATTGGTGAAGATACAATTCACCTTTTCTAATACAATCGCTTTATTGTGTACTCGAGAGCAGGTAATACTGAAATTTTCCATATGAAGTTGAAAGATAATGGGCCGTGAGGGCGTGGTCGAAATCAAAATGTGGGACGCGGGAACAATAGCAAACAGCAGGACGGTGAAAAATTGACCTATTCAATACAGAGTTCGGCACCGTTATAATAATTCGAATTACCCATCCAACGCGTAGTAGTTCTAGCAATGGTACGATGTCTCGGCTACTGCACCAATTCGAAGTAGAGCACGTCATGTAGCAAAAAGGGAGCTCATTGTGTCCCAGATAGTCAACCAGGCCTTTAGCGGTTATTGCAACGACACGTGGATCAGAAATATTACGAAACCCAGATAAACAGGCGGATGCCGACCTAGACTCAGCCTTTGTTCGCACGGATGTGCGGGAAAGAACAAAGTCCTCTTTACCGCTGCTATCTCCCCGTGCTCTACATTCATTAAGTACGTACACACATACATAATCACTGTGTTGTTTACGCCGTTTATTCCGTTTAGTGATAGAGAAAAGAAAGTTCCTCGAGTAACATTTCTTTTTTCGAATAAGCGGTATCAAATCGCATTCGATTAAAACGTATAGAAAACAACAGATACGAAGTTTTAGTAAATAATGCGTTCATTGTTCAAATCAAATCAAATAATTTATTCATCGAAATAAGAAATATACATTTCATTTATCCATAGTCATTTTTTTAATGTGGTAGATTTATAGATCGTTTCGTAATGAGGTTTCCCTAACGGAGAAGAAACAGTCGAAAGAAACTCCGTAGGTATCCTCTTTTTTGTATTTTTTTTTCTCAACAAATACATTGTTGTGCAGCACATATTTTTTTTTTTTTAGAAACAGCTTGAGCATAGCAAACAGCATGGGGCGATCATCTCATTCCCAGGGGTTATTATTGTTAATGTATTCATATATATGATATTAACCCTGTTTTCTTAAACCTGTTAATAGATAGGCTTTGCACATTAACTGCGATTTTGTAATAGAAGCGTATACACCGTCCCATGAACGAGTTACTGACTCTATGAAGTCTAGTAACTGGCGTTACAAGCTTGAGTTTGTTCCTAGTGTTTACATTATGTACATCAGTATTCTTATAATTCAAATTATTAATGTTTCTATGTACATACACTACATTTTCATATATACAGGGTGGCGTTTTCTAAATGTATCCATTTTTTTATTAAATTCTAGACATAAATAATGTTATATAAAAAATGATAAATATTTAAAATCACTCGTAAGTAATTAATTACATTCATTTGAACTTATCTCAAAAAGTGCGTGATTTATACGCAACTCATTTATTTTACGCGCGATCATTCATAACTAACACGCACACAAGTTCGTGCACAGTAAAATTTAGGTATTTATGAATGTCGCATTTTCAACACGTTCTGTTTTTTAAGGAATAGAATGGCATTTTATTTAAAAAAAAAACCTTTGTTTTTTATTTCAATAACCGATTATACTACCGAGTCTGAACCTCCTGTGTAAATTTGGGCACTTCTCAAAAACTCTCCCTGTATATTGAGAGGTCAAGGTTAAAATATTTATTTCTTTAAATTTCTCTCTCAGAGATGCATTCAAATTAAGATTGTAAATTGCTCTTATGGCCCTTTTTTGCAAAACAAATATTAATTCAACATCGGCTGCATGTCCCCATAGCAAAATACCATATGACATTATGCTATGGAAATAGCTAAAATAAACGATTCTAGTTGTATTCACATCAGTCAGACATCTTATTTTCCTTACAGCATATGCTGCAGAACTTAGTCTGCTAGCAAGTTTGGATATATGGGGGCCCCATTGAATTTTGAATCAAGAGTTATTCCTAGAAAAGGAATTATCAAATCAAATCAAGGCCTAACTCGTCCCCATTTATAAATACATTGGCACCACCCAAGTGTTTAACATTAGGTGTCGAAAATTTTATACATTTAGTTTTATTCCCATTTAACAGTAAATTATTAGCATTAAACGAATGAACTATTTCTGACATAGCATGATTTACCTCGTCAATTGTTACAATACGTCGCTTAATTTTAAAGATTAATGAGGTATCATCGGCAAACAACACTATGTCAAGTTTTTTTCCTACTAAGTAGGGTAAATCATTAATATAAACGAGAAAAAGGGATGAGCCGAGAATCGAGCCTTGTGGAACGCCTATTGATATCATCAAACCAGAAGAACTAGCACCATTAATTACAACTTTCTGAATTGTTTTACTTAAACATGACTTAATCAAGTCAAGCGCGGTATTTTTAATGCCATAATGGCTTAATTTCCTGATAAGTGTTTCATGATTGACGCAATCAAAAGCGTTGGAAAGATCACAAAAAACACCCAGAGCATCCTGTGAATTTCCCCGAGCCTCAAATATATGCATAATCAGTTCTACACCAGCATCGGTTGTAGAACGACCCCTTGTTAAACCAAACTGATATTTGTGAAATAATTTGTTTAAATTAAAATGTCAATAACAACTCAACAATAAGTTATTCGAAAATTTTACTATACTATACATAAATTTTAAAGTTTTTGATAGTACTAATCTCTGCACTTAAGATTGAACATTAAAACATGTAGAAAAAGTACGAAAAGATTGTCGCCGCTGTGGGAATCGAACCCACGTCTTCGGCATTCGCGGCCTGACGCTCTAGCCACTGAGCTAAACGGCTGATAGCCACAATGTTCAATCTTAAGTGCAGAGATTAGCACTATAAAAAACTTTAAAATTTATAAAAAGCAATGGCGACATCTCATAATACAATATACTATACAATATACTATACATGTTAATTTACCAACAGTCTACGGTAAAATGTATTATTATTTGTCCAATCCACGTGTAAGTTCACACGATGCATATTGAAGTCTGGTGGTGTTGGTGCGCGTGGTCTTAAAATAAATATGATATTACGATATGATATACGGTTCCCAATATGACGCTAGCAATCAACAATCTTGTCTATAGAAATTATACTTCATTAAATTTAGCTGTTACCCTTTTACGACTTTTGGATAAACTTCCCAAATTATAATCTATAAACAAATTATAATATATTTATCTGGGTCTTTAAAGATATCTACTTAACTCACTTAATAGTAGTCTAAATGTTTTATTTACATCTTGCGAAAACAAGTAATATTATATCGGCATACATAAATATAAAGGAAAACGAATAAGAGATCTAAGAAGAAGTCTATAAATTTACTTGTTTCTACTGATAACCGTAAGGGTAAGCTACAAGTAAATTATAGTATAAATGAGATCCACAATAATAAGGTTATCACTTAATTACCCTATTCAACAATCACTCGGTGTTTAGTTTCTGTTTCTAATCTTAACTTACCTAAAAACTTAGACCCATCATTATTTTAAAAAAGATAAACATTGATACCTCAATATGTTCTTGTGATAATTTGGCCTATTGTTCAGTTAAAAACTCTAGCTGCACATTAAAATTAGGACAAGCGATAATCGCTATTTTTACAAGATGCTAATTCAACATATTATATTGGCATATTGCTTGTCTAATCCAATGATAACCAAATAATTACATACTTCCTTAGCATCACACAATAGTTTAATTTAACGATTTACAGAAAATTTGCGTAAAAACGAGAAATAAGTAAGTTAAATGAATAATTAGTTAAATGAATATTATAAGACTGAAACTAATCACAAAACCCAATTCTGAATCTAACACATTATTTGAAGTCATAGTAAATTTTGTGAAGAATGCTAATTAATATAATTACAGTATAATTAAACTCGGAAAACTACATGGATTACTAACCTTGTACTGAAGCACGCGTTGTAGGGCAAGGTCACAACGCCAGCGGGATCAACGAACCTTGCGACCTCTGCAAAGAATGCATATGATAAAATATTAAATAAATTATTGTTTTGAGAAACTTAAGTTGATAAATATCATTTACAATTTCTTAATTAGCGACAATATGACGAAGATTAATAACAAAACGAATAGGATATTATAAAAATGAACATCGATTAACAAACACAGATAAATAAACACTTTACAATTTATTTGAGTTTTTCAATAAGAAACTTCTTTATACTGGCTGTCAAAAGAGCTTTGGTAATGGGTTGTATCTTTTCTGTGGTTTTAAAGAAAGCGGAAATTTGCAGCGGCGAGACTTAATTCCACGGTAAGAAAAATTTACCAGATGCGGCAGGATCAAACAAAAAAATCTCTTAAATGTCTGGAAAAACCTTTGGTAATATGCTAATGTTACCTTTATTTTTATACAACCCAACAAAAAAGTAGCTAACATATTTTGGCATTTAATTTTATGGATATAGTTTAATATAATATTTATATATGTATATTAATGTATTTTTTTAATATACAATGTGAATACTCTTTGCGAAAAGTAACGCAAAACAAAAAAATATCAAGTACCTACGTATATACTGTATTTTTAGTTTTCAAGTTAACATAAAAAAGTTATTTTGGCGCGTTTGCAAAAAAATATAAGAATAAAATTATAATGATGCGCGCGCACACGGATAGGCAAAAAGCAACATGAAGAAATTGGTTATAAATCGACAAACTTCGACTAACTTTTCACCATGGCCACCAATAAAAACTTTTTGAAATTTACTTAGAATTCCTAGTTATAAGTCATCAACATCATCAATCATTTCAGCCTGTTTGAGTCCACTGCCGAACAAAGGCCTCCCGTACACCTGCGTGTATCGACTTCCCGTACACTTGCACAGATCGTCACTCTGATAGTTAATTATCCCGTTATCAATTCCATTTGATGTCTTTTTCCCAAACAACGAGTACTGGCACAGGGAACAATATTTTTAATTGTTTTTCTCTTGTTACACTAACTTCCTACGTGCACATACATACTTTTTTATCAAAATCAATTGCGTGCCTACTACTAAAATTTTTATTTCTAAATAATATAATTGTAGATCCAACTTTTTAATGTACTTTGGAAAAAAGGAGGCTATGACGATGTGGATAATTTCCGCAATTTGCATTTTTATAGGATGAATAATGTGGACGCTGAGAGTATTAGTAAGGATAACAGCCAAATAGTGTAACACCTTAATAACGACGGAATTAATATGAAATAGCTTTATAATTTACTGTACCAGGGCGGTTTAGTTACGAGCGGCAATATATTTAAATCTGTAAAATCTTGTTTTATAATATCCGAAATCTTTGATTATATATATTTTTCACGTGTATAATCTAATCAAAGTCCGTAGGTAGTGTTAGTTGGTGAGGTAATTTGTAATCTATTAAAGTCATATGTAACGCCATTTCACAAAAATTTTGAGCCTGAACTTGTAAGATAGCGACTATACAGGTACTTACTAGATAGCGCAATATGACATTTTTTTGGAAATTGGCTTTTATTCAGGAACGAAACCTACTTAGACAAGCCTAAAAATAAAAACAAGATCTTATAACAAAAAATATTCTAATGGTTAGTACAGTTTCCGAGATGATTGAAATTTATTTTTATCACAGCTCGTTTAAAATTATACTATAGTGTTAATAATAAGAAGAATAACAGTAAATTTCCTATAAAAAGTCAAATTATAAACCCGAAAAATTATCAGTAATATATAATTAGGAATCCAATAACGGACAAGCAAAACTTTACTGGGACTGCGCAATATACCGACAAAACTACCACCAAAATAGACCAGATATTACCTACTGTAACACTAAAAGACGAAAAGGTATGTCTACCTTTTCGTCTTTTAGTGTTACACATCCATTAAAAATTATGAATATAACAAAGTTATATACAGAAATAATACAAAAATACATCCCCCCTGCAGTTGAAATACTGTCATCAACACACTGGAAAAATCGTACTCATTGTTTTTTCATCCACAAGAGCAAGACTAATGCAAATCTCTTTAATTACGTCACTCGCAGAACTAGGCTTACAGAAAAACATATATACATTAAAGTAATAAGAGGTAGGTACTACACAATATTCTAATGATTATATTAGGTGCTCTGACAGCAGCCAGGAGTTATACAGCTCACAAACGAGCTCGGAGCAAACGTCGCCAGTACGCGCCGCCACGCGATGTCGTCGCCCAGAGTCCCCACCACCGATTCGAAGCCACCATCAATTGCTTTACGTGCCCTACAACAGCCACTACCACTATCAACACGATTATCCGGCGCATTGGGCTCCGAATGATTGTGAGTATTTGGAAAATGAAGACCTTGTAGATATTTAATACTAGTAGTAGGGATTCCGAATAACAACGTAGTGAAAACGATGATGTAGATTACGTAGTATACTACAAGATGGCGGATTTTACAGCACAGCACCCCCAGCCATCTTAGGACGTCAGCAATGTTTAGAATTATATTAAATAATATTTATGGTTACTGTAAATGGAAACAGAAATGGTTTTCACTGATAGTAGAGAATAAAGAAAGATGTTTTTGAGGGTTTAGGTTCTTTGCCTGATGAATGTAAAAGTAGATATAGGTATGTATTATGTATGAGTCAGTGATCGGTTGCAAATCGTGCCCGACAGTTTCAAATGGCGATAAATATAGTTAAAAAATAAACTATATAAAAGGGAGTAGTTAAATGTCATATTTATTACAATTGTCGAAAAGTCCACATTGTTTGAATAAATACAAAAAACTCGAAATCTTTTACTATCTAAATATTCGTAATTTTAAATAACTAACTCGTTGATCATGTTCGAATATTTCAGACAACCGGCAAGTTCACCCATACTATCAGCAGCAGTCCCGTAGCGGTACTGTTACACCACAGCCTAACACCACCCAACCGCAGCGGGCGCACTATAGTCATGCTCTTCAGTTACAAGTAAGAAACACACAAAAATCGTTATTTTGTGTTGATAACAGTATATCGCAAATTTCATAATTACAAAATATTTTTAGAACATATGCCCGGTTCCTGCAAGGTACAGGCCCGTGCCTGCACAACAACCCGGTGGCGGGAAACAAATGATTTGTTACTCAGAAAAGGTATTTAATACAAATTTTACTAATCTTTTTATAATAACTTAAAAGTTTAATTAATCCCTAAAAATAAAAAATAAAAATAATAAATAAACTATGTACATAATAAATACCAGCGGACCCAACAGACTATGTCCTGTACATACAGCTTAAATCCGACAACTTAGTAAACAAAAATAAAAAAAGGTTGTAGTGTTCCGAATGGTGAATCTAAACCATTCCCGAATCGACGTGAAGAAAAATACTCACATTTATGTTTCATCAATACAATGTTATTCCGATTTATCTTAATAAAACTTAAAATTATAATTAATTATAATATATAAAAGGGATAACTTGAAAGTGGCACTAGTGACCGAGAAAGGTAGGTTGACATGGCATCGGCACATTATGAGAAGGGATAAAGTCATGTGACTAGAAGAGTGATGAGTAAGAAAGAATGTGGTTGGAGGGTGCAAAGTGAGGGGAAGGCCGAGAAAAATTTGGATGGACTGTGTGAAGAATAAGTCTGTGAAAGGGGTCAGTATTAAGATGACGCCTGATATAGGAAAGTGTAAGGAATGGACATGTTGCACCGACTCCACCTAGTGTGGGATAAAGGCAGGAGAAAGAAGAAGAAGAATAAAACTTGAAATTACATTGTGTATATTATATATCACTAGTGCTAGATGACGCACGTATTATCCGCCTTTGCAAATACGACCTAATAATTGGTAAAATATTTAAAATATACAAGAGCGAGAAATACTTTTTGAAGTTATACTTCTTTTGGCGCGTTAGGGAAAAAAGATGAAGTAAATTTTTACGATGTGCGCGCACACCGTCACGAAAAACCGACACCCTGAAGTTGGTAGACATTTACGTATGTTTGCGTGAGAACTGACTTCAAATAAACTTTATTTAACTAGATAATGCGTTATAATAAAAATTTCAATGTTTTAAGTACCTTTTTTCTATTATTAGTGGCGTGTTTTTTTATAAACGTAGAATAAGGCGAAAGATATATTTTTTGAAAAGATTTTTATCTCGTTAAGCCAAGGAAGTATAAATTCTAACGCGTGTACATAAGTACACACACACTTTTTGTTTTTAATTTACGATTAGGCACTGAAATATTGATACAACTAGAGTCAATTTCGGGCGACGCTTTAGCCACTAAGCTAAACGGCTGATTGCCACACCGACGAAAATCTTAACGACTTTTATCAACATTGTTATTAGCATTTGAAGCAATGTCAGGCCGCAAATGCCGAAGACGTGGGTTCGATTCCCACAGCGGCAACAATCTTTTCGTACTTTTTCTACAAGTTTTATTATTTTCTACAGGTTCTATATACAATTATAATGTTTGGTCGACATTTAAAATAATTTATTTTTAATAAAAATAATAGGTTGCAGCACCACTCTACCAACCCGCCCCTGGATCCCCATCTAGATTGGCACGCGGGGCTCTAGAAGGAGGACCATCAGGGATACAGCCTCAAGCAGCTACATCACCAGTAGCGCCAACAAATCCAATTTACTATGCTATGAACGTGTAACGTAGAAATTAGGTAAAGTATAAAAATAAGAATCAAAATAACTTGTAATAGATAAGTAGAACACAAAGACGGCCGATACTTAATTTTTAGGTTAATAGCAATTTAAATTTGTGGATGTAATAAGTGAATAATTTATCAAACTTAATTTGCATTTTTGCAATATCTGTACTGAAACCTTCATTGAATTAAGCGCCATCTAGTGTAATCTACAAGAGTATCGAAATTTGAATGCTTCAGTTTCGGTGCACTAGTGTCATTTCTAACTGATATTTGTATAAAATATATATTTTTGGTTTATACTACAATTTCTTGCTTGTACTCGTAACTTTAGCGCCTCAGTTTCGGTGCGCTAGTGTCATATCTACCTAGTGTTTTATTATTATTTCGTTGCTGATAAGCTGTTGAACTAGGTATAATAACACGGTAGCAGAAAAGGGAATTGTACTAATTTTATTCCTACTGAGGATATGTTAAAGATTAAAATCTACTTAAAATAATATTGAAATGATAAACATGATCCCCTAATATTTCCTTTCATAAACATAATCAAGGACAGTCTAAAATTTTTAAAATTTCCTAATTTCAATCATCACTATTGATGATATCTAACTCTAATATTGATAATTGAGAAACGTTCTAAATGCAAGGTGACAGATTCCTTGTAAACCATAATAACTAAAAGAAAATGTTCATATCTTTGTAATTTTTTCCCAGACGAGCCTGCTCATTCATGTGATAGCAAATGCTGTCACTCTACCACTTATAAAATGTAACAACAACTAATACTCGTAAATACGTTACATACATAAGTTAATAGTGACTATTCATTGCAAGAGTTATACAGGGTGGCTTTTCTAAAGGTGCTTAAATTCACACAGGAAGCTCAGACTCGGTAATATAATCGTTTTTGAAATAAAAACAAAGAATTTTTTTTAAAAATATCCATTCTATTCCCTATAAAACAGAACGTGTTGACAATGAGATAATCATTCATAAATACCTAAATTTTACTGTGCACGCACACAAACAAAACTCGCGATAAATCGGTGACGATCCGTACCGGCACGGCGTCGTATACCTTTGAAACGAACTTGTGTGCGTATTAGTTATGAATGATCGCGCGTAAAATAGATGAGTTGCCTATAATTCACGCACTTTTTGAGATAATTTGAAATGAATGAAATTAATTAATTACGAGTGAATTTAAATATTTATCATTTTTTTATATAAAATTATATATATGTCTAGAATTTAATTTAAAAAATGGATACCCCTGGAGAAGCCAACCTGTATGTTTATTTTCAAGACATCACCCCAGTATGTCCCAAAAGTAGAAAAGTCAATGGAAATTTTTTTTTAATGAAAAATTGTATGTTAACTGTTGTCTGTCATTATAAATTATGATAATAATAAAAATACAATCTATATCAAATTTGCTCCTGCGATGCCTTGTATGCTAATTAATGCTTGCACGTCTCATTACTGCTTTTCCAGAAGATGTTGCAACCCGTTTGGCCAATCTAGCCCATCTTTGTTTGAAAGATGTCAACGTTTTTGTTTTTTCTGAATACTTTTTGTATTCCTTTTTACAAAGAGCCCAAATATTTCGATACCTCGAGCTTGAAATGAAAATTTGGAGCATTGTTTTGTTTCGATATGAATTGGACGCCCATAGATTGCAAATATTTAGTGACTTCAGACTCGTAATGACACGAAGCCATATCCGGCCAGAATACAACGTCTTCCCTCTGATAATACTAATACACTCTCGAAGATAAATGGTTCGGAAACAGTGTCGTTTTCGTCTATAGCTTGCCAAACCAGATACTTTAACCTTTGTTTTAATTTTTCCGTTGTAATCCACCTCACCAAGACTGGTAGCGTGGAAATTGCTTCCCAAGAATATCAAAGGGGTCAACCGGTAAATAAGTTTCATCAATTATGAGAATTTTTTTCAAAGTTTTGGTAAACTCGACATCAACCTCGCTTAGCACGCAATTCTTGGTCCTTCACGTACTTTGGAGCGGACAATTTCACAAAAGCCTTCATGCCCAGATCTTAAATTTTAATTCTGTATTATTCTTGACTTAGATATTTTCAATTTGTCCGCCGCAGTCCTCACAGATGTTGAAGATGCTTCTTTAAAAACCTTTTTTACCTTATCTATGTTTCGATCAGTTGCTAGGGTACGTTGCCTTCCCGGAATCTTCTTAAAATCAGTCTCTCCCGATTCTTAATACCGTTTCATTATCCCGTAGATACTGTTCTTATAGCCCCTTCTTGACAAAAATGACGAACTACCTCCGATTTCCCATTATTCAGATAGTACTGCATTACTCTTTTTGCAAACGATTCTCATTCGGTTCGCTTCATGTTAGAAAAACGTCGACAATATTTGCAAAGCCACGCAAATTTGACAGATTTCTTTGGTGGTCACCATGGCAACAGTTATTTTCCTTTTTGAAAACCTTTTTCTTGGCAGATATGAACACTCAGTTTTGTCCACTTATGGGACCACTTTTAGTTTAACAACTGTATTAATAGAAAAATTGATCAAAAGAAATCAATTTTTTATGCTTAGCTGTATTTAATTAATTTGGGAACTTTGGAAGCTTAATAATGTTCTTAAATGAATTCAGTAACTTTATACTAATCAATTTTTTACTTTTCAGGTGAAAATCATATTGAGACATGGTGGTGTAATATAATTTCAATCACCCTTAGCGAAATTAAATAAGGTTACTTCTGATTGTTACTATTTCACATAAAACTAATACAATATTAATAAGTAATATATTATTAATAACTTACTGATTAAGGGCATCCAGATGTCACACCTGTTGATGAGATCTGAATATATTATAGAAAATCAGTCCAGATCAATAAATTCATATAACAATATTAATAATTATTGATTCAAAAATATTGGAGCCAAAATTTAAATTATTCATATATTAAAATGTTTAATGTAAACCAAAGACTAGATAAATTTAGAATAAACATATAAGTGGAAAGCAACATAAAGGGAAAATATTATTAGCTTTTTCACATGGGTACAAACCAAAGACAGACTAAAAAAGAAATTTCTTTAATTCAAACAACTTGTTAGTTTTACAAATATAAAAAAATCATAAATAAGGGTGGAATTTATTTTTTCTTACATGTAAAAAAAAAGGTTTTAGTTTTTGGTAAACAATTTTAAAAACTAATATCTATGTTTTACATAATATTTTATGTTTAATTTACTGTTAAAATACATATTTAAGTGAGTGGAATAAATTTCCAAGACAGAAATAAACATTCTTACTATTTTATATATGCAAATGATAGATTATCTCAATATAAAGATAGATATTGATATAGTTATATTCAGTGGCAAGGCAAATGAGGTCTCATCAAAAAACCAGTTTTAGTAAAATAACCAAAGATATAAGTTTAAACTACATGTGCCAAATAAAATTTCCAGTATTAGCTAGTAGTATTGATATAAGGAGTGATACTGAGAACGGATCTTTTTCCAAGGCCGGCCTAGCTATTGTATTCCTTCATATAAAATGCATACAGCTGAAGAAAAAAAAATAGAAATGTATAAAATAAGGTCATGGGAAAGAAATTTGATATACATAATACACCAACATCATGCTCAGGAACAGCACAAAATATAAGAACACAAATGGTTATAAAAAAGGTGAATAATCTTATGAATGGTACTTTGTAAAGTAAATTTTTGGCAAATAACTCACATTCATATTTGACAAATACCACATGAACGATGAATCTTTATATACATGTTATTAGTTGGCTCATGGTTGTTCATTTAAAATTCCTTTAGTTGCCGAAAATATTATTTATTGGCTACAAAATTGTCGCGTCTCATATATGGCCGATATTACTATATAGAACCCTGTGGCTTATTAATATGGTTACATCTTTGCATAATAATATGTTATTAGAGTTACCGGCGTAGCTTCCTTTAAGTTAGTACATTTTATAACGTAAAATTAATCATAATCGCACAATATGAAGACCAAATTGGAGACCAAAATTGAAGTTGTACCTATTTAAAATATTAAAATAAAATATTTTTGAAAATTGCACCCGATACGAATATCATGCAAACTCTAGTATTATTATCTTATAAAGGATACATAAATAAACCATACATAAATTTTACCTTCAGTAACGTAATGAGTTTATGATGAACGTTTTTGAGAAAATCATATCAAGCTTTCAGACCAATAGAAAAGTGTCGACAGAGCCGTTAGAAACTTTCGCGATTTCGTTAGTTCGATTGAGGTTCGAGTGAGAACTTGTGTCGGCTTTGTGTGCGTAACTCGGTTTATGTTTATTTTGTGATATCGGGATCGGCAGAATTGCACATGAGGCTAGAGAAAAGCAAGCGTTTTCTTGAGACTCTCAAATGTGAGAGATTTACTGGGTTTTATTATCAGATAGTATTGTGTTTAACTATCCCCAAACTATAAAGATAATTTATTAAAAATTGCACAAATCGTTGAAAATATTGAGTACTACTGATTTTAAGTCAAGTAGTGTCTGAGGAGTCCGTAGCGCAGTTGCCAGCTTCAGCATCGGGGGCGTGGGTTCGATTCCCACACTTTATATGACCCACAAATAATTGTTTCACATCTAGTTTTTCAACACAGGAAAATGTTATCCTAAACGGTAATTTTTTAAAAACACTATTGGCTGAAACAGAATACATGTATTATTATAGTAACTTACTTATTTTTCGAAAGAAGACCTATTTTCTTCTTTATTAAAATTTATTGTTAAATCTTTAGTAAAATTTATGTAGTATATTAATGTGATCTAATTTATTGAATTTGTAATAAAAGCATATGCTGTTATATTTATATTTGTATTATATATAAAAAATTTAATGAATCCGATTTAATTAATCTCCATATTAAATAATTAAATGTAGGTAATGATATTTTAATCCACCATCTAATGTTACCAATTTGTATGTCGCCACA